ACCACTGGTTAATGGGATGGGAAGGATTTGGATCTGGGACACTGGGACTCCAGTTAATGGGATGGGAAGGATTTGGATCTGAGACACTGGGATGTGGCACCACTGGTTAATGGGATGGGAATGACCTGGATCTGGGACACTGGAGCTCCAGTTAATGGGATGGGAAGGACCTGGATCTGGGACTCCAGTTAACGGGATGGGAAGGATTTGGATCTGGGACACTGGGACTCAGGACCACTGGATGGAGTTGGGATGGGAAGGATTTGGATCTGGGACACCGGGATTTGGGATCACCCAATAGAAATGGGATGGGAAGGACCTGGATCTGGGATACTGGGATGTGGCACCACTGGTTAATGGGATGGGAAGGACCTGGAGCTGGGACACTGGGACTCAATGGGATGGGAAGGACTTGGATCTGGGACACTGGGACTCCAGTTAATGGGATGGGAAGGACTTGGATCTGGGACACTGGGATGTGGCACCACTGGTTAATGGGATGGGAAGGATGCAGAGCTGGGACACTGGGACTCCAGTTAATGGGATGGGAAGGACCTGGATTTGGGACACTGGGATTCAGGACCCCTGGCTGGATCTGGGCTGGGAAGGATGCAGAGCTGGGACACTGGGATTCGGGACCCCTGGCTAGATCTGGGATGGGAAGGATTTGGCTCTGGGACACTGGGATTCAGGACCCCTGGCTGGATCTGGGATGGGAAGGATTTGGCTCTGGGACACTGGGATTCGGGGCCCCTGGCTGGATCTGGGCTGGGAAGGATTTGGATCTGGGACACTGGGATTCGGGACCCCTGGCTGGATCTGGGATGGGAAGGATTTGGCTCTGGGACACTGGGATTCGGGACCCCTGGCTGGATCTGGGATGGGAAGGATTTGGATCTGGGACACTGGGATTCGGGACCCCTGGCTGGATCTGGGATGGGAAGGATTTGGATCTGGGACACTGGGACCCCAGTTAACAGGATGGGAAGGATGCAGAGCTGGGACACTGGGATTCGGGACCCCTGGCTGGATCTGGGCTGGGAAGGATTTGTCTCTGTGCCCCTCTGTTCTCACCCACCCTCGGCTGCCGGCGCTGGACGTGCGGCGCTGGAGGAGGGATTTGTGCTTCTCCTGGGATTTCATGACGGCCGCGTGCTTGTGCTTCAGCTCCAGCAGCTTGGCCCTCACCTCCTCGTCCCCACACACGTCTGCAACCACATCCTGAGGTCACCCAATGTCACCTCACCCCTCCCAGGGCCACCCTCCATCCCAAAAATAAAAAACACCCACCCAGGGGCGTCTCGTCCAGCAGGGATTTGGCGCCCAGGTCGGCGCCGTGAGCCACCAGCAGCTCCACCAGCTGCACCTGCCGGGGGGAAAATGGGGAAAAATGGGGAAAAATGGGGAAAAACGGGATGGGGAGAGGTGGGAAAAGCGGGATGGGGCTGTGCTCCCAGTGACGTCACACCTGTGAAGTGAGGCAAGGCCTAGAGAGCAAACGTAACGTGGAAATAATGAAAATTAGAGAGTTAATTCAGAAAGCAAGGCCTAGAGAGCAAATGTAATGTGGCAATACGGAAATTAGTGAGTTAATTTAGAGGCCAAAGAAGAGGAAGGACCCCTCAAATTCTCCCCAAATTGAAGACCACACCTCTAAGTAACTCCGCCTAAACCCCACTTAATTAATTAATCACTCAGAGACCGAAAACTTTTGTCTCTGAGCGGTTTCTCCCTCCGTGCCCTTTTTTTTGGGAAGGGGGGGGATAAAACTTGGCCTGACCTGTCCCCAGCAGGCCGCGGCGTGCAGGGGTTGCCACCCGTCCTCATCCCGGGTGTCGGTGCGGGCGCGGTGCTCCAGGAGCAGCTCCGCCGCCTCCAGGTACCCGTTGGCCGCCGCCACGTGGAGCTGGGGGGAATGTGGGAATGTTGGGAATGTTGGGAATGTTGGGAATGTTGAGGACGTTCCCAACATTCAGGGAAATGTGGTACTTTGAGGGGAGTCACCCCCGAGCTCTCACCAAGGTGGCCCCGTGGCCCCGCGGCGCGTCCAGGTCGGCGCCCGCCCGCGCCAGCTCCCGGATTTCCCGGATCATGGAGCGCTCCGTGGCCGCCCGAGCATCCTCGATGCGCTCCTGGGTGATCCCTGGGGGCAAGGGGACAGGGGACAAAGTGATCCCACGGCCCCGTTATTCTCATTATTCCCATTATTCCCGTTATTCCCAGCTTTCCCCTAACCTTGCTCGGCCATGGTGCCTGTTATTCCCATTATTTCCACTATTCCCATTATTCCCGTTATTCCCGGTTTTCCCCTCACCCTGCTCAGCCATGGTGCCCGTTATTCCCATTATTCCTGTTATTCCTGGTTTTCCCCTCACCCTGCTAGGCCATGGCGCCCCTTATTCCCATTATTCCTGTTATTTATTCCCATTATTCCCGTTATTCCTGGTTTCCTCCTCACCCTGCTAGGCCATGGCACCCGTTATTCCCATTATTCCCGTTATTTATTCCTGGTTTTCCCATTATTCCCGTTATTCCCGGTGTTCCCCTAATCTTGCTCGGCCATGGTGCCCGTTATTCCCACTATTCCCATTATTCCCATTATTCCCATTATTCCCACTATTCCCATTATTCCCAGACTTCCCCTCACCCTGCTCGGCCATGGCGCCCGTTACTCCCATTATTTCCGTTATTCCCATTATTCCCGTTATTCCCGGTTTTTCCCCTCACCCTGCTCAGCCAT